TCTATCTATCTATCTATCTATCTATCTATCTATCTATCTATCTATCTCTCTATCTATCTCTCTACATATATGTTCCTAAATCTAACATGCTCAGTCAGAATAATGGTACTCATATATATGTTTCAGGTCTGATCCTTTGGTATGAGGTAACCAGTTGATGTTCTCACAACAGGCCACAGCTGATGGGAAGAGACTGAGACTTCAGTCCTGAAAAAGACAGCTAAGATAGTTAATTCTTAGTTTCAGCCTCTCAGAACTAACCTCCACATTTCCACACTGGGATGATTGGCCATTATGTGGGAGGATGTGATATTTGGTTGGTTGTTTTTCTTTTGGACATAGTAGCTTTAGGAATTATAAGACACCTTATTCAGATAAGTTCCTGTTGCTTCTGATCATTTTAATAGACTTACACAGGTTGGTCATGAGGAAAAGTTGAAATTTCAGAAAAATTATTTTTAGAACTTTTTATTCATTTATATTATTCTTACTATCAATGAGTATAAAAATTTAAACATTGACTAAATAATAAAATTTAGAGTATAAAAGTTATTTAATGTAATGATAATCTCTTTGGACTTTTTAATTTCACTCTACAGCAATTTTTGTTGAGAATTTGACATATTATTAGTTAAATCTTCAATTCGTATTCTTTACCAAAAGTTCATATTACTTCAAATTACATTACTAATTATTTCAATTATTTATGTTTAAGTTTAGAAGTGCCACAGTTTATACACTTGGAGAATTTATGATAATTTTGTTCCTAATAGGTGAAATCCATGAAATGAGTTCTTTAAGTTTTTTTCTTTATTATCACCTTTATCATTGTTCTTTGATAGCTTGAGGGTGCAGCTATCATTGCTTAGGAGACGTCACTGTTAGTCCAGCTGTGGACTCCTGACTGTTACTTTGGATTTGCCCCTACCTACAGGTGCATGTGATAGCTCTCCATTGTGGCCATTGTGGTTCATCTCATTAAGCTTCTTATTCTGTCTGCTTTCTTGAGTCTTGGGAAACAGCATTTTTCTGAGTGATTGTACCATATTGTTCCAAATATAAGGCCACCCAGAATAGAAGTCAACCTCCAACTAGAAACAGCTCAAATGTGGAGAAAGGCTGGGGGCCCAGAGCCCGGCGGGTCTTGCAGTGGTGGCAAGGAATAGGACGATGCCTGCCCTCTTTCCCGGTGAGTGAAGATGAGCCAGCTGTGTGCATTGGCTTGTGTATACCTAGATGGCCTCTGTTTCTAGAGGAAACATTATCACTGGGGGACAAAGATGACAAGTCTGCACATGGAGAAAGGTGGTTGTGTGGGGAGGGGGTGGGAAGGCAGGTGTGGAGTGCAATCTTTTAACTCTTACTTGTCGTCTTAGCTTATTCTGACCAAGGGTCAAGGCTGAGAAAGCCCAGCTACATGAAAGGAACAAACCCTCAGGAAGGAAGGTCCAGATGCATCAGTGTAGACTGGAAAAGTATTCCTTGCTTATTGACTGATGCACTATATGTATTTGCAGCAGGTCTTCATGTGTGGCTTGAACACAACTCAAGATGGGAACTATAGTTTCAATTTTATTAAGGTTTTCTACTTTTAAATTCCTTGTCTTCTGAGCCAGTCCGCTATAATTTAAAGAAGAAGCCTTAATGTTATTGCAATAATCTCTGAAAGACTATTTAACATTATTTGCTTTTCTGCATTCTACTCAGTAGCACATTAAAAACCAGTTTAGTCAGAATGTGCAAATCAACTGAGAGTGCCTACTGAGTGAACCTAGGTGATTCTCAAGATATCCTCATAAGCATTTGGAGAGTTGAACTTCTGCTCTGTTAGATGAGACAGAATGAGATGCTGAATTCTACTGTTACAATCTAGAAAGCCACTCAGTACCTTCGGTGTTAAGTTTTACCATGTATTTTGGGTCTCCCAAATATTATATATATATATATATATATATATATATATATATATATATATATAT